TGTAGGGTGGAGACCCCGCCGGTTGGCCTCTGCTCAGGTTTGTCAATTTAATTAAGTCGTAAGTTTTACCTTTTAGTGGTAATTAATGGAAAGTAATAATTAATTTACCGTAGCTGCAACGAGTATCAGGCAGTGGTGTCAGTGGTGTCCTCATATGATTTGTTAATTAGTTCGCGAAGAAATTTTTAAAATACCCTCAAGTCAATATTTTTTTAAATTTGACCCTTTTACGTTTTTATTATAGAAATAGACTCACTTTCTGGTCACGTCAGCACCGTGGTTAGAAAGTAAGTCTATTTCTGTAATAAAAAAAATAAAAAAGGTTTATTTTCAGAAGAAAATTTGGTTTGAGACTATTTTAAAATTTTCTTCATTAGTTCACTGGAAGTTGGTAACCCCCATTATAGCATTGCAGTTAAAGTTAATTGGTTCGATTTCAAAAGTTTACAGTTTATAGATGAAGTTGGTGTTGGAGGTCGGCTCCATTAAATTTTGGATAGAGCTTTGTTACATAGACCCAAAATATGAGACCAACATGAGGGACATGTGAGGTGTCCTCTTCCTATTGCATAATAAACTGGCCATCATTAATGATGGTCAGCTCATTATGCAATAGAATGGGGACACCTCACATGCCTCCCTATTGTATGATTGATATTCCTTCTTTTTTATTTTTCTTTCGAATTAGGATCTAATTTTATAATTTTATTTTGTATTTTTCGCAGCGGCGTGGATTCCAGTTCCAGGCCCAGCGGGTCCAGCGGGTCCTCCCCTGGCTCCAACAACCGAAGGTCCGGAATTACCAGGCAAGTAAAATTTCTTTTTCTTTTTCATCATTAATTAAAGTTGTATTACATTCTCTAGACCGGAAGGGGGAAATAATATAAAAATATGATAAGATTTTTTTTTTTTTTTGCAGTATCTACTCCGATGATGCCGTTTAACATTCCGGCTGCAGCTCCAGCTAACTCCAACTCCGGCGGCGGAGGCGGCACCACCAGTTTGAGAACCCTCAATATTGGTGTTTTCATCGCCATCATCATCTTTTATTAATTATGAGCTTATAAATAGGCATTTGTATATTTTTTCCCCCACGCGCACGTGACTTCCTAGATATATAGGAGGACCCACTTAATACGAGATGAACAGTGTCTTGATGTGTTGTTATTGTTATCGGACAAATTTTCAAAACCGTCCCATTTCAGCTTTTATTTGCAAAAAACGATCTGTTTCTAGGATATTTGCAAAAACCGACCTGGTTTCAGCCTCAGCGCTCAAACCAGGTCGGTTTTTGAAAAAAAAATTCTGAAACTTCACGGGAGTTGAACTCCCGTGAAGTTTAGCAGCTTAATTAAAATCTGCTAAACTTCACGGGAGTTCAACTCCCGTGAAGTTTCGGAAACTTTTTTTTTAAAAACCGACCTGGTTTCAGCGCTGAGGCTGAAACCAGGTCGGTTTTTACAAATATTTTAAAAATGGGTTGTTTTTTACAAATAAAAAATCAAAAAGGTCTCTTTTGAAAATTTGTCCTATTGTTATCGCTATGATTTCTTCGGTGTGCGCGTTATTGATTTGTGGAGGAAGCTTTATTTGATAAAGGTGATGGTGATGCGTATAAGGTGCTGCTTGCGGAGAAACTATGGGTTGAGAATCCCTACCATCAGTTATATGGACTAATAACATTGATTTATGGGTGGCACTAGGGGCACACCCCCAACCACATCCCAAACCACACCCGTCTCTCATATGCTACAATACACCGGACCCCACATGAGATTTTAAAATTTTAAAATCTCATGTGGGGCCTGGTGTACTGTAGCATATGAGAGATAGAGTGTGGTTTGGGATGTGGTTGGGGGTGTGCCCCTATCATTTTCCTTGATTTGTTTAGTGGGTCCCATAACTAAAAGAGTTTTTATATGATTTTCGTAATGACGAGTATCATTCATAGGGTCTAACGAATGATGAGAAGTTATTGGTCAGTTGTAGAATTTCTTTATAATCAAGGATGTAGCTAGAGGGTCCCTACCCAAAAATAATCCGAATGAGACACAAAAAAAGGGGTATTCTTCATTATCAAAAGTATTAGAAATTATATTTTTCTTAATCACAACTGTTTATCATCTATAGGTGAATTATTGATGTTTCTTCTCAAAAATAAAAAAATTGAACTATTAATTTGATATGTTCTTTCAAATCTATTACTTATCATATATTTCATGATATTCGTTAATTTATTCATCTTTCCTATTGTATATAAAAACTGAATTTGTCCACTAAATAATGGATGGTTGTGATTAAAAATGTGCCCCAACTATTTTAATTTCTTACAACGGGGAGGATCTGAGTCAGGGAGGAAAGCTCTTCGGTTGTCTCCGTTCACTGTATTATAAGAATGTGCTATTTTACACCAATAATCATGCGGATGGGATCGAACAAGGGGATATCTTTTCCGAATATAGATTATCAAATGGTATGGAAATAGCTTGATTCTCTTGAAGGATATCTCTGAACATTCTGATAGTTTCTCCGTACGTAATTCCTTGTACTCTTTCACCCTATAAATATTATTAACATCTGAGATTACTGTTTCTAGAACTCTTAGGGGCTGTTTGTTTTGAGTATTTTGCCTTGGGGAGGGGGTGGAAAGCTGCCATAGCCCCTTATGGTTACTCGTGAGTTGTGATGGTAGGTGACTCGTGATGAGTATTAATGAGCGGTTGAAGGAGTGGAGCTGTGGAGATAATTGCTTCCGATTACTAACTCGATGCCTATCATTTTTGTGTGTATTTCGCTTAGCTCAAACATTCACCCCATGTGAGGAGCCGTGATGGTATTCAATTCTCTCAGCCATTAATAAGAAGTCGTTTAAATTTTGTGTTCTCATTAATTATATATTTACTATTTTGAAGACCGCCTGCTCTCGGGTTACCAGAGGTTTGAGGATTGGTACGGTGATCCAATGATTTAAACTTTTTGGTGCGCCAGCACGAATCGCATAAGCTTCACTGCCTTAGGCTCAGGAGGAACTAATAAAAATGAACAAATTTAAAAATATGAGTTATAGCAAATAAAAATTACGGATTTTGAAGTACACATGCTCAGATTAGATTTGATATTGAATAAACAAAAAGGCTAAAAAGCATGGATTTGAAGTGCATGTACTTAATTGTTATTGGATTGTAATAAGCGAAAATTGATAAAAAAAAAAGTTATGGGTTATAGGCCGTGAGAACTGTGAAATTTGAATTATGCGACATTATATGTCATAAGGTAAAAAATGAACATGGAAAAAAAATCATGGGTTATAGCCCATTAAAATCACGAATCCTAAAATAAATATACTTAATTGTATTCAAAAAAATAAAAATAAAACACTTCATTCAATAAAACCATAAAAACTAAATTTTTTTGAAGGATGCATAACTTATTACCACTAGATCCAAAGAAAGAAAAATATTGTGTACCTTAAAGTATGCATGCAAAATTTCTACTGGATTGAAACAAACAAAAATGAACAAAACTCTATGGGTTATAGCCCATGAAAGTCATGAATTTTTAAGTATGTATATTTAATTATCGATGGATGGAATCAAATAAAAATGGATAAAAGATCATGGGGTTATAGCCAAAAGTTACAACTTTTTAACTTCACATACTTAATTGCTAGAGGATCGGAACGAATGCAATTTATAAAATTATGGCCTACAGCTCATGAAAATTGCAGAATTTTCAAATGCGCATATATATATTTGTCACTGAAAAGAAAGCAAAGAAAATGGATAAAAAAATTTGGTTAGAGCCTGCAAAAATCATGAATATTATAGTACGCATAATTAATAATCATTAGGTCAAAACAAATAAAAGTATACAAAAACTATGGATTTTTATTATTTGCACTTAACTGTCTTTTGGTAGAATGGACAACTATTAATAAAATCAGGCATTTTCGCTCATTAAAAGGTGTAATTTTGAAATATACATACTAAAATTCTATTGGGAGAAACAAATAAAAACAAACAAAATTTCTTGGATTACACCCTATGAAATTGTGAAATATAAACTCATATAAGTAATTGTTATTGGATCGAAATGAACAAAAATGGACAAAAAAATTTAAGATAGACCTTATGAAGTTGCAAATTTTAAAATACTCATTTAAATATTCCATTTTTTGGGCATTTAGGTTGCCTGTACCTTATTCGGCTCTCCTATATGTGCAACATCCATGGGTTAACTACAAGGCCCAAGTCTATTGCACACACGGACGATGTTCTATTAGTCCCTTGCAATTATCAGGCCCAAGTGAATTGAGCCTTCGGTCCATATCATCGTTGGGCATAACGAATTGTACAATCCATGATGCCCACCGATCTAAATGTCTACGGCCCACAGAGTTTAATAATTTGTGAAACACAAATTTTTTTTTATTGGATGGTTTAATAACCTTTAAAAACCATACTTACAAAACAACAGAGATATATAAATTCAAAAGCAAAACAAAATAGCTACCTGATGTGAGCTTTTCCAACTCAGAATACTGCTCCATTTCAGTCTTGATAGGCTCAATAAACACTGGCTTAAACATTGGCTTGCTAGTGTCTCTCAACCAGTCACTAGTACATACCAAAGCCTCAACCATTTTTGGGGTCAGACTTGCACGGAATGGATCCAGAATCCTTGATCCAAGGCTAAAAGCACTTTCAGATGCTACTGTTGAGGCAGGCACTGCAAAAATATCTCTTGCAATTTGAGACAAGATTGGGAACCTAGCTGAATTCTCTTTCCACCAACCTAACAGTTGAAAGTTAGGGTTTCTAGGGTCCTCAGATGCCTCCACCATATACTTGTCAACCTCAGTCTTTATCTCCACCACATCTTTCTCCTGCCGAAGCTTTACAAACTCATTCACAGTTGCAGAATGGCTGTCCTCCTCATCAACTATTCCACTTGAGGCTGACATTGGCTGAGTTGAATTATAAGAAGCAAGGGCAGCATCAGGATCATTAGCTGCATACTCATTGAAGAGCTCCTGCAATGTGCTCTTCACATTAATCACCAACACCTCCGCCAGCTTCTTGTCTATCTTCAATTTAGGGAAAAAGAAATCCAAGTACAGAAGCTTGTACCTGAAAACAAAACATAATAAAAATATGTAAACAGAATAACACTACCAACAGATATGCAATAAGAAAAGTAGTAAACAAGCTCAAACATGTAAACAGAATAATCTAGAAATATAAGGACATGTGCGTGCTGAGCAAAGGTAGGTAACAAAACTGAACAGAACAGAGGAATAAAAAGAGAGAATAAACTTAAAGGATAAGCCACTCCTGTAGTCATGTATATAACCCCCAGTGAGTACAACGAAACTGATTTGGGTGTCAATTATGTAACATCTTGTTTTGATCTCAATATGGAAAATGGTTTATTAAACCTTAGAAATATTTAGAATTCTAAAAAAGGAAACAAGCTCAAACAGAAAAAAAAAAATAGGAACACGTACTAGAAATAGGTAGTCAGTCATAGTCCACATTTCTTGATGCTGAAGATACAAAGCTCTTAAATGATTGTTGACTGAATTAATCCAATTAATCCAAGAAATAACAATGTGGGTCAATATTGGCAGTCATTTTCCACGGAATTCAAAGGTCCTACAAATTAGAACATAACACCATATGGATCAACGTAGAAAGTGAAGTGAGTAAATAAAAAAGCAGGAAAAGGACTAACACCACCAATTTGCTCAATAAGCAATAAAAATGCCAAATCACTGCTTAACTTCTCTCAATACGGTATGGTTTGTTAGTAAACACAATTGTATACTTCAGCTCATAATTGAACTAGTAGTTAGTAAACACAATTGTACTGGATTCATAATGCGATTTCCGAAGTTACATAAAAGGGCACTCTTTGATGTTCAAATATAACCCAGTAGTTTGTTCTCTTATGATGCTATGTATCGTTGACCAAAAAAAATCTCGACTTGATTCTGAACTTTGAGAGCTGATACTTGATAAGCTCTACAAATGACAAGGAGCTACATGCAATCATTCTATTAACCACAAAAATAGCATCATAAATGATTGTGA